CCCCCCCCCAACTGTATGGAGCATCCGCTCCGTGCATTAGCTTCAGCTGGGTTGTGATATTCACTAGCGGCGTGGCCTTGGGAAGCCAAGCAGGGTGAAGGGTCTGAGATCTCTTGTCAGGCGCTCTCTGAGGACCTTCTCTGCTCTGAGGATTCTCTGACACTGCGTTGAGGCATCGACTTCTAGGGACCTCCCTCTCAACGAAAGCTGAGCAGCTTCCAAGTGTGTCAAAGGCCTTCCCTAATTTTGTCTTTTCTTTTCTGTCATTCTATCCCTTTGGTCTAGAAGGTTCATTCTTGCTACAGCTTGCTCTTAATAGGTGAATGGTTAAGGTTAGAAACATCTCCTGAAACATCATTTTCTACAAACTGCTCCTTGGAACACAAGTGACCCTTGAAAAAAGATCAAATAAGCTTAGGAAATGCGAAAGCCATTCACAGGCACGCTAACGTAACAAAGGACATGAGACATTCTCCTGCAACATGCTCTCTGCCTTTTTAACATGGTTTTTTCCTGATCCACAACATTGCCTTAGGGATTGTAACCCAACATATTAAGGTAGATCCGGGTAATTCTCAGAGAAAAGCTGATTCTTGGGCAAGGTTCTTAAACTTCAATAAGGTGAGAGGATGTGACGTGTTGCCTCCTGGACCGTGCTAAAGAATAAAGAATGTGGTTGCAAAAATAGCCCAATTCTTCACTCCGCCTTGTGTCCATGTCCATACTCCTTATGATGTGACTTTCCAGCTCCTCCTATCTAAAGAGTGGAGTCTATTTCTTCACCTCTTGAATCTGGAATTGCCTTATGACTTGCTTTGGCCAACGGAACACAGCAGAAGCGACCTTGTACCAGTTGTGAGCCTAGGCCTTAAAAAACTTTGCACGCTGTCCCTGGCTTCCTTGGAAAACTGTGATCAGTCTTCAAATGAGCCTTGGCTAGCTCTCCAGATGATGAGAGACAGTGTGGCCCAGTCAGCCCCATCACTCCAACCAAGAGTCAGCCAGTCAATGGACACGTAAGTGAGACCACCCTAGGCTGAGCCAGTCCCCATTGACCCACTAGCTGACCACAGATGAATGTGTAAGCCCTGTCAAGATCATCGGAGCTGTCCCAGATCAGCAGAACCACTCAGCAGACCCCTATATGAGCACTAACAAATGGTAGGTGTCTTAAGCAATTATTTTTGGGGGGTGGGTTGTTACATAGCAATTCAATTAATTAATACACAAGGTAAAACCCCTGGTTACTCCCAAAGACAAAAATGGACCCCTGAAAAACAGGATGATGATACACTGTAACATCTCACTACAGCAGGGAAGGAAAACTGATGGCAGCACAAATTATGAGCATTGCCAAGCAAGGGGTCGTTCTTATTCACGTTTCCATCCCAGCACCAAGCACAATGCCGTGCACATGGAGTGTTCAGTACATGTTTTTGAGGAATAAGGGCTTGGTAAATTGTCAGCATACCTGAGAGCCACCACTATACAAAGGCCAATGAATTATATATCATAGTTTGGGAAGGACCATAAAATAGAAGCAGCCCCAAACACAAGGAGAAGTGATACTGACGGCAGACAGTTGGAAGTTAATGGTTTTCCTGATCTGAGCTCATGTTTCTCATGCTCCTGGGATTACAGGCGGGCCGCCTCGCAGCATTTGCACCCCAGGATTAACATCTGTGTGAACGTGGCATAGAAAAAGGCAGAGCGGATGAATTCCTGAATTGTTCTCGCTGACACTCACGGATTTGTTTCCTT